TACATGAATGTATTAGAACAAAGCCACAAAATATTAAAGAGTACAAATTTTTACGTTGAGTACTCTCTAACTACAGTAGTGGCCCTACTTGTACATGTATGCCTGAACACATTAATTAACTCATGCAAAAGAAGTGGTGACTGCATAAAACGTGTATTGTTTCACAAGTATACACTTTCAGTCAGAGATTGACTACACAATACGAATCTGATTTATCACAGCAATTTACATTAAAAATTAAATATAACATGAATTAATAATTGCATAGTATTAAGAAAACAATTTTTTGTGATAAAAATATTAATAATAGATGTGACAGTGCACACGATTTTAGAAAGACCTTAGACTTTGCTTTGAGGTTTTAAAAATTAACATTACTTTTACCGCAATTGAGCAAAGCCCACTAAGACGAGAAAGATGTTGTCTGTACGGGGATAGGGTCGTCCAACTAATACTAAAGTTAAGTAGCCTAATCTTCATTAAAAGTGGGTGTGGTCACAATGAATTAAAATGGCGGCTATCAGCAAGTCTGGGCTTATTTGCAGCAAATGCTCAGCAAGATTAGACTAAACTGAGTCCAAATACTTCGCTAGCAGTAAGATGGGTCATAAAGCACAACAATAGAGTGGCTCAGGGGCTGAGCCCTTTAATGTTTTACATTCTTCTACTTTGGTTTATCATTACTAGCTTTTGAAAAGGAATAACACATAAAGCTCCAATTTCATAATAATTACTTGTTGATTTGTGCATAAAATAAGACCAAATGAGAGTTTAATTTTAGCTGATAAAAATTAAACAGACATAACACAGAAAGAACAAAAATACACAAAAAAGACGGAGAGAAATAAAACAGATTAATGAACTATAAAGATTATATGAAGTCAAGGACTGTAGGAGAAGATATGTACATGTACATGAAACCAAACACTCATCTTTATTACAATGGTACATACAACACAATCACACAATGGTACATACAACGGTACTCTCAAACATCACACACATACCACTACATTTACAAAATACAGAAAAACAAAAAAAAGCAAAAATTATTAATCATAAGTACAAGTCAACAACGAGAAATAAAAGGCAGTTATTAGAGTAGGCCACGTTAATGTAAAATGTACTAATTCAATATCAATCATCACAAAGTGTTGTCTGCAACAACATTTCTCTAAAGAATATTGTGTGCCACGACTGGTATCACCTGCATGTGTGTGTTACAGTAACTGTATTAAATGCTAGGTGTGAGAATGGCAGGAGTGTTATTAAAACTGAAAATAACTAACAATCTTGTACATGTACATGTAGAAGCAGAATCTATAAATGTACATGCATACTTTAATCATTACCAGTTACTACTAACTCACAGTTAATGATGACTTTGCACTGCTAAACGATTAGATGATGAACATTCAAATAACTGGCAAGGAAATTTAGGCAACCTACAGTAGATAAGGGAGGAGCATAAGTGTACATGTTCAAATTAGAGTAGACTCAGAACAACTCATTTCCACCAAAATATGTCGCCATATAATGTGTATGGTAATAACAAATGTAAATTTTAGTTAAAATCGACTGACATGTAGGCTATTTCAAAGTTAACTATGTACATGTACAAGAATATTAAAGATAGGGTAATACTGATAGGATTTTCCAGTATGAGTAGTGACAGCAAATAAATTGATTACTATTAGAAAAGGCTCTAGAATGATCTACCGTATAGC